CTGTCTTCGTGTTGAGTGTCACAGTCTGAATGGCACTTCCATCATGGAGTCAGTTGTGCTAAGGTCTGGGGCCCTGTTACCCCACTGTATTTGAGCTGTTAGGCCTTCCAGTTTCTGCGGAAGAGATGTAAAGTAGTATCGACGATGGCTTCACTTGCCGTCTGTAGTTCTGTAGGTCATCATTAGGACTTTTAATCCATCTGTACATGTGCTGCCAAGTTGCTGAAATCTGGTTCTATTTCCACACCACCCGTTGCCCTGTTGGTTCTCATCTTTAGCGAGGCACCAGCTCAAACTGTTTTCCTGATTTCTTGTTCTTGGCCAACTGCTTGAAGCACAAACAGGAGCATGTCCTGCCTCTGTGTGAATTGCCTGCAGAATCTTTAACAAACACAGATGTGGGATATTCCTTTGCACTGTGTGAATACATGTTGCTGTGGTTGGTTTAATAAGGAACTGACTGGCCAATAGCTGAACAGGATAAGGTTAGGTGGGCAGAGCCAAACTGAGAATGCTAGGAGGAAGAAGGGAGGAGTCTGGAGTCTTGAGCAGATGCAGAGAGAAGTAAGATGGGCATGCTGTATTGAGAAAAGGTACCAAGCCACATGACAAAGCAATAGATAAGAAATTATGGGTTAATTGAAAATGTAAGAGTTAGCTAGTAACAAGCCTGAGCTATTGGCAGAACATTTGCAATTAATATAAACCTCGGTGTGTTTATTTGGGAGCTGCTGGTGGGATAAAAACTCTGCCTACAAATGGTGCCCAATGTGGGGAGCATACATCCATATAAAGCCTGAGGAAGCTTTAAAAAGGGTTCTAGACACACAGAAACAGAGCCAAGAGCAGCTTCCTACACGTGTCTCTCGTGCTGGCTGTGGTACGGGGACTTGTCTCCTGGCTGCTGCCTGCAGGCTTGAGCTGCCAGGGCACCATGAGGTAAGCTGCATGGCAGGTTCCCACAGTCTCTCATACCAGCTGCAGTACAGAAAAGCATCTCCCAGTTTAAAGGCTCATGAGGTCAGAAAAAGATTACAGATATGCAGTAAAGACAGATTCAGACCAAAAAATCCCTCTGAATGGAGATTATATATATATATAGGCTTGGAGAAGAGAAAAAGTATATACAGTCTTAAATTAAAAAAACACGGTTTTAAAATAACAAAGTAAAGTCCATAATAAAGGAATAGAGTAATAAAAAAAATATGTCACATAAAAATGGAAGATACACAGAGAGTCTGGAGTCTGGATACTGAATGTTATTGTGTTGTCTTTGAATTTTTTGACTGCTGAGGAAGGAGCAATAGCTGCTAAGACACATTGGATTATGAAAGCTGCTAAATTAAACCAATTTATATATTTTAAAAGTGTCTTAACTTCAAGATGTAAGTCAAAAGATATGTTACTTTGGGAAAGAGGTTATGTGTTTATTTCCACAGGAAATGGAATGCTGTAGATTCACTCAAAGTTAAGGATGATCTGGTTTAATCGGGGAAAGACCCCCTGAAAATCCTGGCTACAAACATAAAGAAATAAACCTGGAAGAACTACAAGACAGATAATGTATATTTTACCTGCTCAAAAAAAATCATCTTTGGCTGACTTATGTACAATACACACTGTATACTTGTATTAATGTAAATATGTATGTTACCTTTAAAAGTTTGTGTATTTTCAGAGCAAGGAGACCAGACACCAATGAAAACAGATGGCCAGGAGATCCAGCACCGAGAATAGCTTCAAGGCTGCTGAGATGATCCAGCCTCATAGAATACTCCAGCCAAGACTTAACAATTATCCTGATTTTCTCAAGGTTCTCCCAAAGATGCCAGTGCCCCCAAACAACAAGAAGTAGTCTAGAGAATGACACCTATATTCCCAAAAGATGGGTTATGGATGTTTATTATCATTTAAGGGGAGTTGGTTACAAGTTACTATTGATAATGGTCTAAACAAAGGAGATTAGATCTCAGGGATCTCATTCTAAAAAGAAAAAGGGGGAATATAGAAGTAACAGGATAAAAAGGTGAATTAATGAATGTATTTTTAAAACACAAAAGCAACTACTAGCCTTAAATACTTTACATTAATATGGATTTTTGTATATTGATACAAATTTGAAGTTATTTTGTTATACTATATATATTTCTACTCTTGTTTAAGATATTTTTGCATATTGATACAAATTTAAGGTTATTTTTTAGAACATATTATACATATGTTTCTACTCTTGTTTAAGGTATGTACCTATACAGCTCATTTAACAATGTAATGTAAATTTCTAGTCCTTGAAAGTTATTATCACAAACTATTTAGGATAATAAAAGGAAATGCAGGTTAGTAGTCAGTCATCTATTACAATCAAACTTGTAGTCATGCTACACATGTTTTCAAGTTTAAACAGATATATTTGGATAGATATATGGTCTTCAAACACTTCAAAGACCTACAGAATATGGCATTTAAAATGTTTTAATAACTAAGACATTTAAAATGTTTTAATAACGTAAGGCTTTTCATGACAGTGAGACACATCTGCTCCTGACAGCACCAATTTGCTTGAAAGAAGATGATGGGCATCAAAGAACTCCGTATGGAGTTTGTTTTCTTTATGGCAAAAGCTAACCATGTGGGCAAAGAAACTGCCCTTGCTTCAGTTGCTGACAGTATGCTGTCCAAACTGGACCATCAGGATGCAAAAACAATGACTGTCAAACTTTGCCAAGACAAGGTGGGAAAGTCCTTCAGAATTCCCTGCTTCTCAAAATTGTCTGTCAGACATACTAGATCTGTAGGCCAAAGTTGGCTCTCCCAATGTTACAGAATAACTTTGGGTGACTGTCCAGGCAAATGTCCCTATTGTTAGGTAATGTTTCACCCTTCTAGGGTCTTTGACAGAGTTGAAGACTAGATAGTCATAGTTAAAGTTTTCTTTCGTTATGATAAAAGGTAAATTAGGTATAAAACACAAAGAGTCACAAAGATAAAATGGATAATAGAATATTTTCTCTAATTTTGCCAAATACAAATGAACTAGAGATTGTAACTATAATTCTTACTTGATAACTGTTTTGGTTGTATATAATTTTACTACATTAAAGTTAAAACCTTCCTTTTTAATTAGACAAAAAAAAAAAAGAGGGAAATGTGGAATATTCCTTTATACTGTGTGAATATATGTTGCTATGATTGGCTTAACAAGAAAGCTGACTGGCCAATAGCTGAACAGGATAAGGTTAGGTGGGAAAGCCAAACTAAGAATGCTGGGAAGAAGGGTGGATTCCTCAAAGGGGGCTGGAGAGATGGCTCAGCAGTTAAGAGTGCTTCTGCTTTTGCAGAGGGCCTAAGGTCTGTTCCCAGACTCATTACCACCACATCTGACCCCAGAGCCCCAGGAGGCCCAGAGTCTCCTCTGGGCTCCAAGCATTGGCCTTCATCACCCACTCTCCCGCCTCCAGGGCCCTGGCTCTCCTGCTCTCATGTCTCCAGCACTCAGCTCCCACTCTGCGCAGCCTGTGGTTTCCTAAAGGCCAGGGATCCACAGGCCTCCTATGCTGCTTAGTTTTGTTAACTTGGACAAGCTAGGGTCATCTAGAAAGGAAACCTCAGTTGAGAAAAGGCCTCTATCAGATTGGTCTATAGGCAAGTCTTTGGGGCCTTTTTATTATCATTATATTTATATTTATTTATTTTTATCAGTGAGTCAGAGTCTCACTGTGTAGCTCTGGCTGGTCTGGAAATTTCTATGTAGACAAGGCTGGCTTTGAACTCACAGAGATCCACTTGCCTCTGCCTCCTCCTGGATGTTTGCATTAAAGGTGTGCACCACCATGCCCAGTCGTGGGGCTTTTTCTTGAGTAACGATTGATTGACATGGGAAGGGCCCAGGCCACTGTGGACAGTACCACCCCCTGGGCAGGTGGCCCTGTGAAGCCTAAGAAAGGTAGCTGAACATGAAAGCAAGCAGTAAACAGTGTTCCTCTATGGTTCCTGCCTCGAGTTCCTGCCCTGACTTCCTACTATGATGGACTGTGATATGAACACATAAACCAAATAAAACCCTTTCCTCCCCCCCCCCACCCCCGGTTGGGTTAGTTTGGTCAATGTTTTATCACAACAGAAACGTAACCAGAACACCCCCTGAACACACTTTCACACACAGACCTCTTTCTGTGTGGAGTTTACTTTCCAAACTCCTGTCTAATTTCTCCCCTGGGCTGTGAGCTGGGGAGGGGGTGTGTGCACAGTGCATCTTACATCTCACACAGCCTTTCCGCTCTGAATCCCTGTACCCAAGTAGGAGGTTGTGCAGTGGTCTGGGGAAGGGGGGTGGATAAGAAGAAAGGGAAGATGGAAAGAGGACCATCCATGGCCTGAGGATGGGCATGGAAAGGTGTGAGAACACTCCTCCCAGCTCTTAAGTTCTGGGCTTGCCCTTCTGCTGGACGGGAATCTGGAGTTGGCGGGGACACAGTTGAGATGTGCTGTGGCTAACCTTGTAGAGACTGGTGTGCAGCTGAGGAGTGCTGAGCCTAAGATGGAGATGTGAGGTCATCGGTGCTGAGGAGCCCGTCCTCTGAGCGGTGGCTGAGGAACACCACGAGATGGGACAGGGGAGACGTCTTAGAAACCTGAGGAGAGCCGTTCAGTGGATGAGCAGCTCAGAGTCAGATGCCCTGGAAGCCTCGTCACAAAGCAGCTACCCTGATCCACCAGCTCCCCTCTGCCCGCTCCTCAGGAAATGGCTGTAGCTGAAGTTTTCTCCAGTCCGGCCCCGGGCCCGCAGCCACTCAGACCCAAATAAACACACAGAGGCTTGTATTAATTACAAATTGTATGGCCTATTGGCTCAGGCTTCTTGCTAGCTAGATCTTACATCTTAAGTTAACCCATTTTTATAAATCTATACCTTGCCACGTGGCTCGTAGCTTACTGGTATCTTGACATCTTGCTTCTCATGGTGGTGGCTGGCAGCGTCTCCTGTCTCAGCCTTCCTCTTCCCAGAATTCTCCTCTCTGCTTATCCTGCCTATACTATACTTCCTGCCTAGCTACTGGCCAATCAGCATTCCACTTATCAACCAAATCAGAGCAACACATTCACAGCATACAGAGCAATATCCACAACAAACGGCCATCTTGTGTGCTGAACAGGGAAAGCCACACTGCCTTCCTGAGAGCCACGCAGGCCGGCTCTGCCTGCCTAAGGTACCATCTTGCCTTGATTCCTCCTGGATGCAGCTTGAGAGGTGGCCAGGACAGTACCATCTCCCCACACAACCCTGTCCTGCCCTTTTCTCGTCACTCCAGCGCCTCTAATATCCCTTTCCTCTCTATCCCTTGAAAACAAAATTGGGGGCAAGAAGTGAGAACAGACAGATGGCTTCTGATCTATCAAAGGGATGTGGCCTCTACTTTGTGTAACTACAGTAGTGGTGAGCATGCCTCAAGGCTAGAGCTCCAGGCAGGGAGTGGGGTGGGGTTAGATAATAGGAAAACACTCTGGCTGGGGATGATTTAGGCTCTAGCAGTGGTTCTCAACCTGTGGGTCATGACCCCTTTGCCAACCCTCCATCTCCAAGATATATTTACACTTACGATTCATTGCAGCAGCAAAATTACCGTTAGGAAGTAGCAATGAAAATAATTGTATAGCTAGAGGGGGTCACCGCAACATGAGGAACTGTACTAAAGGGTTACAGCGTGAGGAAGGCTGAGATCCACCACTCTAGGTTTGAGGATGACCTTGTTAGGTCACAGGCTCCAAGGGGTCACAGTGAGGAAGGATGAGGAGACGCTACGTGAAGCAGGCCTCACTCCTCCCTACTCTGGAGACGTGGCCGTGTCCCTTATCTTAGCTTCGGACACTCAGCTCCCTCTGCCCCCCCCCCAAAAGTCACCCATTTGCCCACGCTTCTGAATCTCTCTGCTGCACCTAGGGCCCAGCAGCCTGAGCCTCGATAGCCACAGTGACCCTCAAGGAGCCACAGGCTGACCTCAACTCCCACTCCCGACTGGAGTTGTAGGCCATTGCTGGGGAGTCCGAGCCTTCCCTGGAAGACAACTGGACGCTCAGCCAGCGACACTGAGCCTCCTGACAGGCAAGCACCACGGTGCCCTCGGGGTTGCGGTAGGTACACTGACTGTGGGCCGCCCTCCCCTCCCCTGCCAGATCCCAGCTGCCCACTGGCTCGCTGTCACCCAGCGCCCCCAGGGCTGGGAAGCCCAAGTGGCCCGGGATGACAGAGCACACTAGCTGTTCCTGTCTCAAGCTGGGCACCAACTGGCCCTTGAGGTAGGCTGGGCCAGCGCAGTAGGTGCGGGTGTTGAAAAGCTGGTCACTGTAGAGGCGGAGCCAGCTGGCAAGGTAGGCTAGGTGACAGTCACACTGCCAGGGGTTGCCGAACAAGGACAGGTTGAAGAGGTCATAGTTGGTGTCGAAGATGCCCTCGGGGACCACGGTCAGCTGGTTCTTAGACAAGCTGAGCACCTCCAGCCTGGACAGGTTCTGAAAGAGGCCTGGAGGCAAGTCCGTCATGTTGTTGCTGTTCAGAAAGAGGTTGACCAACCGCCCGAGGTCCCTGAAGACATCCTCGGGGAGGTGGGTGATGGCATTGTGGGCAAGCGTGAGGGAAGCGAGGCGGGACAGGTTGGCAAAGGTACCCTCGGCGATGGTCTCCAGCTGGTTGTAGGACAGGGACAGGTGGAGCAGCCCTGGGTTGTGGGCGAAGAGGTCGGCCGGCAGGGTCTGCAGCGCGTTGCCCCGCATGTTTAGAAAGGTCAGGTTGTGCAGAGAGGAGAAGACGGAGACCGGCAGCTGGCTGATGGCGTTGTGCTGAAGCCACAGCTTCTCCAGGCTGGAAAGCCGTGAGAACGCGTGTGGGGGCAGCTCTGTGATGTCATTGCCGTCCAGAAAGAGCTCCTGCAGGCTGCCCAGATCGCCCAGCAAGCCCTCGGGGAGCCTGGTAAGCTTGTTGTTACTCAGCTTCAGTGTCTGCAGGCTGAGTGACTGGAACAGCCCCTCGGGGAGATTGCTCAGAAGGTTCTGCTCCAGGTTGAGGATTCTTAGATACCTCAGGGACTGGAACAGTCTCCCAGGCAGGGTCTGGAGCTGGTTTCCCTGAAGCTGAAGGGACTCCAGGTTGTCCATGTTTTGGAAGAGGTCCTCGGGCAGAGCCACCAGCCTGTCGAAGCCCAAGGTGAGCTTCTCCAGTGAGCCCAGGTTAGAAAAGACGTCAGCACTGACATTGTAGAAGGGGCTGCCTGTGATCTCCAGGTCCTCCAGCCAGGGCAGCCCCCCAAAGGCATCGGGCTCCAGGTGACAGACCTGAGTGTTGAGGAAGACCACCTTGGTCAGGTTGCGGCTGCTGCTGAAAGCTCTGGTCCCCACCGTGGTGAAGGCAGTCTCCACAAAGACAATGTCTGTGACGTGTGAGGGGATGTCCAGGGGGATGGTGGCCAGCTGCTCATCTGAGCAGAATACCTCTCTGTCGAAGCAGTCACAGCCCATAGGGCAAGGCTGGGTGGGCCTGGCCAGGAGCAGGAGTGAGGCCCAGCACAGCCAGGCTCCAGGGAACATCTTCTAGATCCAAGGGGGACAGGAAACAAAAGAAAAAGAGTGCCTTTAGTAAGGGTATCACACTGCAGCGTCCAGAGCACTAGAAGGTGACCATCGCCCTCAAGGCAAGATCAGGCTGTGAGCAAGAAATGGCCTCTTCAGGGAGGTCATGGTGTTGGCAACAGTTGCTTATGTGATCATTGCTGGGGACCAGAACCTAGGGCTGGTAGGGACAGAACCTAGGGCCGGCACATGCTGGGAAAGCTTTACCAATGAGCCCCAGCCCCAGCTTGTGCTTTTAGCAGCTTGTTCGTACCACCTTACAGTAGTAGCCTTGCAAAAGGTAGGGCTGCGTTCTGATTTCCTGGAAGCAAAGGTTCCAGCCACATTGCCTGTCTAGATACCTTGCAAGTTAGAGGCCATGGCAGGATCAAGACCTGGGGTCTTCTGAAGCGTCCATGTTCTTTTCAGATTGGAAAATGATACGGGAAGAGTAAGAAAAGCAAGAGAAGCCGGGCAGTGGTGGCACACGCCTTTAATCCCAGCACTCGGGAGGCAGAGCCAGGCGGATCTCTGTGAGTTTGAGGCCAGCCTGGGCTACAGAGCGAGTTCCAGGACAGGCACCAAAACTACACAGAGAAACTCTGTCTTAAAAAAAAAAAAAAAAAAAAAAAAAAAGCAAGAGAGAGGGGGATCGATAATGTGGAATTATTCTAGATAACATGTAAAATATGGGCAGATTAGCCCTAAATGGGAAATTTCTAACCCATAATCCTTCTTGATTTCCAGATCTCGACATGCTTCAGGCCATGGCTTAGAGGAGTCCCTGTACCCTGCTCTTAGTTGGGTCTGCTAAGGGTGACACGGGCCCCTCAGAACTGTACCAAATGCTGCCCTCCCTGCCCTGCTGTCCCTCATTGTCCCAGTACCAGGAAACTTTCTAGAGTCCAGACACAAAGGAAACCCAGGGAGACCAAGCTTCATTTACTAAGTATTCATTAAAAAAAAAAAAAAAAAGTCTAGAACGGTGGTTCCCACCAGTGTCCTGCAATCATAGCATTCTGGAGG